ACAATCTTTTAGCCTTTCCCCATTGTCTTCCCTTTAGACACCCTCTAAACAAATTGTATTACCTCCACCCGCGTCCGCTCCGACACGGGTACCAGACAGCGTTTTGTCAATAAACATGGAATATATGGGCTTCGCCCCGATGGATCCCACCCCCCTCGCGACACCCCTTCGACTCTTTAATACATATTTCATTTTGAGTCACTCGAATATTTCAACCTCGGCTCAAACATGAAGCATATTTCAGAAGAGGGATTTTTTAACCGGCACAAACCATACGTCCTCTTCTTCCCTCTTTATTGTTTAGTATTCCATTTGGCGAGACCTAAAACGCACGGTTATTATTGAATCACGTCGTTGAAATTATCTTCTATGTTCTTTGCTGTCTTTTATTTATCTTGGCCCTCTGTTCACTTCGCTCGCCGACCCCAGGGGAGCTTCTTTTTTTTCATTGCTCACTCACCCCCTCGCGAAAAAGCTAGCCACCCGTGGGCATATTTTTTTAAATAAACCAAAAAGAATAACCTTATCACCAAACCTTACTTCACTTCTAAAAATAAACCTAACATTCCCATCAGACCAGTCGTCAACTACCTAAAATCTACTTGAGCAAAAGCATCTTCAGGTTAAGGTTTCAACTAAGGGTTCTGTTGTGACCTCACTGAAGATCCTTTTGTTCAAGTTGTTCAACAGGCAGGTCGATACATCATCTCATCTTTAATACCTAAAACCTAATTTAATAATAAAAAACAAAACACATTCTGCCATTGCCAAATTTGACTTCTAACTAGAAAATACCAAAACTAGACTTCTTTGACATAACAGACCTGTAGCCATCCATCCCACTCGAAGAAACTGTCGACATACTAACAAAAATAATACACGAAAACAGCGACAACGAGACTCAACTACACAATTTACAAAAATAACCACCAAATTACATCAAATTCAACAATGACATTTACCCCACAAAACACGGTCTAGGGATGAGGAACCCAACAGCGGCCATCATTGCAGAGGTGTTTGTAGTTTTCCATAAAGGTGGCCATTCACGATCACTCCAAATGGAACCGCGCCAAGCCGTACAGCTCCATTTGGAGTGCCTGAAACTTGAGGAGGCATCCACAGCCAGTCGCACCGAACGTCATCTAGTGAATTACCTTCTCAAAATGGATGCCGATCTCTTGTGCTACTCTTCTGATTATTTACATATTAAAAGCAAAAAATCGAAGAGAAATTGGTTGTTGTTTGATTAGAAAACAAAAGACAGTCATGAGAGAAATCATCACTCTACATGAAAGGTTAGCAACCACATTACGATTTCTCGCTACAGGGATGAACTACGAAGAACTTAAGTTCTCCACTACGATTTCTGATCAGCGTTAGGGGTTATCAATACCGCATCTCTCGTTGCATTTGTATCCTTTGTTTTGGAAACATCGACCGACTGGTTGAGGACCGAATTTCTTTTATTAATATCGTGTTAATCATTGTCCACCACTTTCCATAAACATGGTAAACTTTCATACAATTCAATCACCTCAACAATAAAATCTCGATTGGATGTCATTACCAATAAAGAATAAACGTTTTTGGCTTTTTGAGAATGTACGACGGAGATGTTTGGTCAGTGACAGAAAGACGGAGACTGCGCCAAAAAACGCGGGTTTTCTCATTCACGACCAAGCCAGCGCTCCAATATTTCACCTTTCACGCCATGCCGTCGTGGCGCGATGGAGTTTGAACCGGTCGAATATTCGGCACAGCCGGGCACGCCAGTTCAGTTTTGCCATTGACGTGGTTTTTGGAATGGCGTGGCTCCGTTTGGACTGCTAGGAGCGATCGTGAATGGCCACCTTTATAGTTTCAAGTGCATTTGGCGTCCAGATAACACACCTTCGTACGGCCTTGCAGCAAGTAGTAAGTTTAGACCAAGCCAGCGCTCCAATATTTCACCTTTCACGCCATGCCGTCGTCGCGCCGTAGATATTTGGAGTGGCGCGATGGAGTTTGAACCGGTCGAATATTCGGCACAGCCGGGCACGCCAGTTCAGTTTTGCCATTGACGTGGTTTTTGGAATGGCGTGGCTCCGTTTGGACTGCTAGGAGCGATCGTGAATGGCCACCTTTATAGTTTCAAGTGCATTTGGCGTCCAGATAACACACCTTCGTACGGCCTTGCAGCAAGTAGTAAGTTTAGACCAAGCCAGCGCTCCAATATTTCACCTTTCACGCCATGCCGTCGTCGCGCCGTAGATATTTGGAGTGGCGCGATGGAGTTTGAACCGGTCGAATATTCGGCACAGCCGGGCACGCCAGTTCAGTTTTGCCATTGACGTGGTTTTTGGAATGGCGTGGCTCCGTTTGGACTGCTAGGAGCGATCGTGAATGGCCACCTTAACGGTCAGCTCCTACTCCGAAAACGTACTTAGAGAACTTAACGCAGTATACAAAAACATTATTTTCGCATCATTATATTTAGTGGTCTATTGACTAAATTACTTCTTCCAATTAATTAATCATTTTATGTAAGGTTTTGGCTGAAATGAAAAAGCTAGTGTCACGAGCGGGATTCGAACCCACGACCTTCGGCTCGTGACGCTGAGAAAATCATGATAGCTGAAATGGTTAGAGCAGAGGCGTAATTATTGAAAAATGATTATATTTCAATTTTTTTTTATATATTAATAATTACCTTTCACCCACGTTGTGAGCATCATCAGCTTTCTTACAAAACAGAATAGAAATAACACATCACTAAATACATTTATGAACGAGTCGTTAATCTAATTTTTTTTAAAGGCCTTATGAACTGGAATATTAACCAGAGAACGTAGGTAGTATTTGTTTCATCGTATATACACGGACAGGCAAAAATTTCACCCACTTGTTATATAACTTGATTTTTATATATTTTTATATATTAATCAAAGTTTCACGTTTTTTAACGTTTATTGCGTTGGGGCCGTCAGTGGCCTCAACGGTTTGGGCGTTGACACGGCGCTCATCGCTGTAAGGTGAAGGTCTCGGGTTCGAAACCAGCGGCCCTGCATTCGAACCGACATACTTAAAAAAATTTTTTCCAAAAACACCGGCACCTCGAGGATTGATATAACCTCTGCTGTTGCGAACCATCGTAAAAAAAATAAATAATTGAGTCTGTTTAAAAAGTAAACAAAATTTAAATTGCTAAGGAAAATGAAAAAAAGACGGACAGATAAAATTTGTTTTAATTAGATTTTTAATTAACATTTCAATAACGTTTATTTCCTCTTCTTGCTTTAATTACCGCTCGAAGATGCCTCGGCATACTTTCTACCAGAGTTGGGCAAAATCTAACTAATTCAATCATGATTAAGAATTTTGATTGAAGTTTAATCATGATTGAATTAGTTATGAGTAAATTAATCATTATATGATTTAATCATAATTAATTCAATCATGAGGTATGACTAAATCATATAATGATTAATTTACTCATGACTAATTCAATTATGATTAAACTTCAATCAAAATTCTTAATCATGATTGAATTAGTTTGATTTTGCCCAACTCTGGCTACAATGGCCAACTTAACAAAATCCAACCGACTCCGGATAAAAATTTTGAGATGAGAGTCGTGCTAAGGCCAACCTTCAAAAATTGTTATCATAAACGAAAACCAAAGTTACATAATTATTCTACATGTCTATTTTATTACAATCAAGACCCCTAGATGGTGTATTTTCCAAATAATGTAGAAATCTCTCCTTTTAAACGGAATAAATTTTAATTCAAAGAAATATTTTTTCCATTGATCGGTTATGTGAATATATTTACTTTTCAAAGCGTAGCTTGTTCTAGGATTTTTTTATTTTAATTATTATTATTATTATCATTATCATTATTTTTTGGCTTATCAAAACGACGGAGTTTTACTTATAATTGGAAGATTGATTTTTGTTAAATAAGGTGTTGAAGGATTTTCGTTTTGATGAAATAAATTTCTGTTAGAAAATTTTTTAAAAGTGATGAAGTGTATTTTTCATTTTTTTAGCACCCATTTGAACATGATTTATCGAAATTTAGTCATGACTAACTATATTGTGACTAAATTAGTCATGCCTCGTATTTAATTACTAGTCATGACTAATTTAGGCATCAATCACATATGTCGATTAATGACTAAATTAGTACTTACTACCAATCATGACTAACGGTCTGAGTGATCAATCGTTAATCATTAGACATGACTAATTTTTGCCCAACACTGCTTTTTACCAGCCTGAAAATGTCTCTTTGCTGGAGGTTAGTTTACAAATTGAAATTAAGAAAACAAAGATGAAAACTTACCAGTTTATTGCTTCAGAATTCAAATGAGACTGAATAAACATTTTAAATTCCGTAAGAAGTAAACATTGAAAAATCCTTTATCCTTGTTTTGGATTAAGGATTGAGTGTGTTGACGTCTAATCGATATTCCCAATTTAAAACATAGCATAAACAAATATTTATTGGTGAAAACAAAGAGGCAAATTAAGGGCAGAATTTTCTTTTATCGATAAAATGAAAAAATCAATTGGGTGGAATTGTTTGCCTGCCAGTGCATGTAGTTGGTGGGGGTAGTGTGAAATAACTGCCAGGTGCGACGGTGGGAATCGAACCCACGACCGCGGGGTCTACGAGCCGAGAGTCAATCACGCTGACCTCCCGGCTACCGCGTTCCCAAACTAAACATACCAACATCCCAATTGATTCCATTCGAGTCAAATTCTTCAAAATCACTGCCTACACTCCCTACTATGCCTCAAAAAAACTCGGGTCACAATGACTTCAAATTTTACAAAAAATTCTCTCAACTAGCTAGCTCGATCCAACATAACCCAGACTAACGTGGAGATAGCTCAGGGACCTCCTAATCAATACCAGAAATATTTCGTTGTTGTTAAATTGGAATTTCAAATAAGTAACGTTTCATCGAACGGTCCAACTCGTATTGATGTTTTTTTTTGGTCATTTTTCAGCCGCTGGACTCATGCTGTCTGGACATGTAAACAACGCAGCACCCGTGACAACTCCTCTGGAACCGTGCAGAGTCGCTCCTTACGTGAATCTCCCTCGTTTGCCGTCGATCCCTTTTCCAGCCGCAACCAACACCTTCTCGGCCTTCGATCCAGCATTCATTTCGGCGGCACAACAGGTAAGAAACGTTGAACAAACAGCATTTCTTTTTACCGCGGGGTTGAGCACTGACCTATAAAATTATGATAGTTTGTTTTTGACATAAGTTTAAATAAAAATTCACTAATTTCGTGGTCCGCTTGACCAATTAATACTTTACAATTAATTAAGGTTTTTAGTTGAGATGAAAAAAAGTTAATGGCACGAGAGGGATTCGAACCCACGACCTTCGGNTAGCTCAAGTGGTAGAGCAGCGGCGTATTTAGCCGAAGATCCTGGGTTCGAATCCCGCTCGTGCCATTGACTTTTTTATCTCAACTAAAAACCTTAATTAATTGTAATTCATCAATAAGTGCCACACCACGCCCAACAACCTCAACATCAAGCGACACTTCTAAGTTTGAAAATTGAAATTAAGATAACATTTTAAATTCCGTAAAAAGTAAACATTGAAAAATCCTTTATCCTTGTTTTGGGTCAAGTGTATTTACATCTAATTAATATTCCCAATGTAAAAGATAGCGTTAAACAAATATTTATTGGTAAAACAATGAGACAAATTAAGGGCAGAATTTTCTTTTATCGAGAAAATAAATAAAAAAATCGATGGGTGGGATTGTTTGCCTGTCAATGTAGTACACTCAAACCTTATATTATAATATATTAAAAATTGCTTTATTAATCCTAAATAAGTTTTTATTTGGTTTGTATGTTTCAGTATGCTGCAGCTGCTGCGGCAGCGGCTGCTTTGAACCCGAGCAGCGGTCCTCTCCTGTTCTGTCCCCAGTACGGGTTCGCCGCCCTCGCCGCCTTCCACCACGACCGCCTCCTCACGAAAAACTCGTCGATCGCGGATCTCAGGCTGAAAGCGAAGAAACACGCCGAAGCCTTGGAACTCGACAGAGAGAAAGAGCCCCTGGGCTCCTAGGATAACAGCTAACGGTTTAAAATGTACATACGAACCATTCTATTCCCTTAGATTTCTTTGTTAAATACCTCCTTAGATAACTATTTAGCTGTAGGCCTTATATGCAAAAAGTGTCATATTTTCATCTTACCTACGCCTTAAGTGACAAAAGAAAAGTGTAAAAATTAATTAAGGAATGGTTGAACCTTGCTAGAAGGAGAAACAGTGAGAAGGTGAAAATGATTTATTTCATAGATGTATAAAATAAAAAAAAAAAAGTAAGAATGATGAAATGTGTGAATATATGTCTTGAACGATCTCGTTTGAAGAATTTCTTTAAAAAATTATTTCTTGCAAAATAAACGAGTCAAACTTGTACTAAATTGTGGACGAAGAAGCGATTTTATTTTCTCAGCCTACTAAAAAAAGATTTCTATACCAATTTCAAGATCACGTATCATCCAATCTGTTATCACCCAATAATATATTATTATGTTAAATTATAACGTAATAATGTATTATCTTATTTATTACTATATTATAGTCAATTTTTGTGGATTAAACTGATTGAGTGCTTCTTTGTTCTAGTTTCAATTTGTTTGGGACTTGATGTTTCTGAATTATTGACGATACGAAAAACGACCTTTGTGAAAGTATACAAATATTGTAACCATTTCAAAGATTAATTTTACCATATCAAGTGTTTACAAATAGATTAGCCTTTAGGGTAATTGTTATAGGAATGTTAGTCTTTTTACAATACAATAGACATAATCGATTTTTTTTTTAGTTATTTCTAATAATTTTCTTAACTGGAGACCAAAAGCAAATAATTGACAAAATTAAAATAATCGCTAGAAATCCAAGGATTTGGGTGAAACCGACAATAATATATTTTGGAAGGCAGTAAATCCTAGGTAGAACAAACAAACAGCCCTTAATGTCAGGTACATGGAACGATTATACTAAATTATTTGACGATATTTAGTTTATTTCTATAAAACTTGCCATAGAGAACATGGAATGTTATGAATAAATTTAAAAAAAGAACAAACAAATGTTCTTCCAGTTTGAATGCTTTATTGGGCCTGGCTGATTCGAGTGTCAGTTCGATATGCAACGACCAAATTAGGTTCATGATTTCAAAATCATAATGAAAGCAAATAGTGTAAGTATTTGTTGTTGTTGAATGATATTCCGTCAGCGTTCATCCGTCATAAGATGGAAACTCATTATAATTTCACGTGTATCTGCGATATTTAGCGAGTAGAACAAGAAATCGCAAAGAATTTGTTTACACTACGAACTAGGCCTAAGTGTGATCACCCTGCGACCTGTTGTCACTGTGGGATAAGCCGTGCGATATCGCAGGAGTAGAGGGCGAAAACGCAAACGAAAGAAGGTGTCTTTGATTTAGCCTAGATCAGCCTGCGACCTGTTGTTACTGTGGGATAAGCCATGCGATATCGCAGGAGTAGAGGGCGAAAACGCAAACGAAAGAAGTTGCTATTGCGTTTGCTTGGAACAGAGTACGATTTGTTTACACTGCGAATTAAGCCTAAGTGACATCCCACGAGTAGAAGCTGAAACCGCAAAGAAAGCTGGTTTTGTCTGGATCAGCCTCCTACCAGTACAGACTGTGAGCCGGATCCGCGCGATGTGCTTCCTACATCCAAATATTATTTGGGGTCTAAACATTCTGGACGAACTATTTGCACCTTTTTTTCTAAAAACTGGACGTTGATACATTATTGGTGATCCCAACATTCTCAAAAATGCCTGGCTCTCTCCTAAAGCGTAGTACCACCTAGCATCCAGGACTATTTAACTTGATCCCTTCCAAATTGCTTATTCGTGGCAGTACGTCTAATCATAAATAAATTCCTTTGGTCAAAGTTCAGAAGCTAAGAAAATGTTTTGGTAAAATTGTTTTTTAAACCCCTAAAAATTTTAAAAGTGACAAAACAATATGACAGCAATAATTTAACTAATATAGTACCGTTCAAAACGACTGTGACTGATTTTCTTAATTGACACAATTTCAATTTTTGAGAGTGAAATATGTTTTCCAGTGATATATATATATACATATGTATCACATGGGCGATAATTGAGTTTTGTTACACACGCTGCCGCAACGGATGCAACTATTTTTTTTAAATATTCACGTTCTATAGAGCTTGTTTTTATTAAAATAGATAAATAATTTCCCCTTTATTTTTTACAACTGTGTATTGCCCAGATGTTAGGAGGGGGCTTATCTTGTTCCAAAATTCCACTATAATTTACACTTTGATCATTCAGGTCCGTTTTTTAGATTGGAAGTTTTATTATGTTGATGAATACACATCATTTATTTTAATAGCCTACGATCTGGGTTACGCTCCGTAGCCATACAATTTTATTTGTGACCGAGCAGGGCATTACCCTGTACATTATTTTGTTACCTTATGCTAAAAAACTTATCGATTGATATACAATGATTTTGAAATACTTGCACAAAAGGCAGAAAACTATTTTTTTAATTGTGTAAATTACTTAAAATATTTTTTCCCTGGCTCCAGGCAAGAACCCTGAAGCCGGGAACACACTTACCCTATGCTACGCTACCCGACGCCTTGCCACGTTTTGGTAGGGTGTGCACATCTATGTGAAGTCAAGAGCACGCCACGTACAATCACACAGCGTCACACAATCGCAACGCCTCTTTTGTTCTTAATGCACTATTTTGAGCCAAACCTTGTAATAAATTGTTATGTTGAACCGGCACACGGTGAATAACTCAAACAAAAAACCCGCGAGTGAACGCAGATCCAGTAGTGGCCCTTGTGCCGGTTCAACATGAGTTCGCCAACTCGCAGACCAAACCGCATCATCTACAATAAATTGTTAGTTAAATTTTATGAGCACAACCATGTAATAAATTGTTTGTTAAACTTAATTGTTTTAAATAAAGTTATTCCGGTGTTTTGATAAATTTTCTGCCTAACCATCATAATTAAATAATTTTTGTAAAAACTTATCAATTTTTAATCTTGTTTAATTTAGTTTACATTAAAATAGGAATGTTGTAATTAATATAACGACAGAATTTCATATACTTATTTGAAATAGACTACAAAAATTATGAGTGTCCTATTCTAAAGCTACTCGACGAAAATTGTGTAATTGTGTAAATTATGAGCAAAACCGTGAAATAAATTGTTAGTTAAATTTTATGAGCAAAACCGTGTAATAAATTGTTTGTTAAATTCATTCTATCAAAAAATGGTATTCCGGTGTTTTGATCAATTTTCTACCAAACCATTAAATTTAATTTTTTGGTAAATGAAAACTAATGAATTTATGAACTCGGTTAATTTGGTTTATATTAAAAAAAGTATATTGTAATAAATATAACGACAATAATACATATAGTTTGAAATAAAAATATGAGCGTCCGGTTCTTTTGTCTTCGGCTGTACTCGATGCTGCCCGACGAAAATCTGGACAGTGGGGATCGCAGAGCGTAGAGTTGGGTAGCGTTGCGTGGCATCGGGCAGATGTGCACGGGGTAATACTATCTTATGGAAAATTGAACTTTAGATTTGCGCCAGGTAGCATCGGGTAGCGTCGCATGGCGTTGCATCGGGTAAGTGTGCCTTGAGGCACGTGTCTAATATTTCCCGACCTAATGTCACCAAATATTAAAGAATTGGTCCGCGTTGCCCTGTTAGACGAGCATATATCCTGGTCGATTTCGGCTTAACAAGCTGTTTAACTATAAAATGCTTCGAGTGTAGTACCTAGTACTTTTACTACCAATCTGGACTGTGGAACTATCCTGAATCGGAAAGCCACATAAGCTGAAGGTTTGTTTGAAAAAAGGGCCTAAATTCAGAAGTAAAAGAACTTCGTAATATTATTAAATCGATACAAATGTTTGTACATTGTGTGTATCTGTGTCTGTGTGTGTCTGTGTACCGAGTATCAATGGAATGTTGGTTGGCACGATTAATAACTGAAAAGTTGCTAAAGTTTCTATTGTAATATGCTACCAAAAGTATAATATTTGTAACTATAGTAATAATTTTGTTCGACTAAACATGAATTGAATTATAAAAGCTTAACCTGGGGGGGGGGGATTTTAGACGCTGTAAATTTAAATTTGTAAACTGTCGAGCTAGTACTAATTTTTTGTTGATTTTTGTGAATAAAATGCCCATTCTTTGAGCTTTTATTTATCTAAATGTATATATGAATTTTACCGTTCACGTTTTAAATATTCTCATTTGTTACATGTTGTTCAGAAAAAAATCAATCTTTTTTTTTTTTTTTTTTTTTTTTTAGTTGTCAAAATTTGTTATGGATGTTGGGAGTTGTATACTTTTAGAAATAGATTACTTTTTATGTTTATGTAAGTTACATATAAAATAAAGAAGCATTATTTATTTGTTGTTTTTATTTTGTCTAATTGTAAGTTTCTCTTCTACACAAACATTCATCCTTTGAGTAAAGACGCACGAGGGTTCGCTCATACAACATACATATACACAATATACAAAAGATTCGTAATTGCCTCAGGTGCATCGGAAATATTATTTTGGAAGGTGAGTACTGTAACATGCAGGTTAGTGGTTAGAAATATATATTGTATTTGCATAGTTCGTCACGTCATCACCAATGATCCTTTCTATACAATCAAGATGTGCATCAAGAATTATTCAGCCATGAAAAAGTAATGCACTGAAAAGGCGGTATACATAACCATCGAAACGCATGTACAATAAAAATCGTAAAACACAGTTTGATAGCTTTTGATATATTTTTATTGAGATGCATAAAAAATGCTGCAAAATGGATATTCACATTACAATTAATTAAGGTTTTTAGTTGAGATAAAAAAGTCAATGGCACGAGCGGGATTCGAACCCACGATCTTCGGCTAGATACGCCGCTGCTCTACCACTTGAGCTATCGTGACCTCGATCCACTCGGACACTAACTTCCCATCTCAACCCCACCTTTTGAATTTTCCCTCCTTTTTGCCATTTTTCAAGCCGAAGATCGTGGGTTCGAATCCCGCTCGTGCCATTGACTTTTTTATCTCAACTAAAAACCTTAATTGTAATATATTAATTGGTCAAGCGAACCACGAAATAGTGAATTTAATGATATTTACATTGTTGAATTAAGCAAGTTGAAAGGCGAAATAAAAATATAAAAAAGCATAAAATTTCAACTTTCAAATTTTTCTTTTTTTGTGTGGGGGGATTGTATCATCACCAAAAAGGTTTGATCCAACACGGTGACCCACCAACCTTGTCGTCCCCTTTTTTATCAAATAAATTTTTTGCAAAATAAACGAGTCAAAATTGTACTGAAGTCTTTTCAATTAATTAACGTTTTGGATCAAAAAAAGTGAGTGTCATAAGCGGGATTCGAACCCACGACCTTCGGCTAACGTGGCACGACCACTTGTAGAG